CTCCTCTCCTCTCCTCTCCTCTCCTCTCCTCTCCTCTCCTCTCTCTTCTCCCTCCCTTCCCCTCCTAAAGACTGGCAAATATCCTTTTGTGAAACTACATGAAATAATTTGTTCAGCATTATCAGCTGTGTTTGTAGCTTCCCCATTCAGGAGCATGATTCTGGTTGCAGACTGGTTTCTGTAAGGGATGTTTCTTTGCCACATCCAATGCCAGGAAAAGTGGAGGGGGAAGAACTTCTTTTAATTCCTAACATGACTTGTCTCTACTATTTATGAAGTTTGGGAGGGAGGGCACCAGTCATGTAGCAACCAGGGTGGCTTGTGTTCTGTAAGCCTGACAGTAGATCTAGTTTCAAAGAGTCTATGAACTAGATCAGCAAAGCAATTTGTGACAGGAAAACACACTTTAGTTAGATAACTAGGATGACTTAACATTAGCAAACCTGCTGTGAGTAATGTTTTAAAACCTGAGCAGTTTCCAGGCTGACAGTCACAGGAAATGCTTGATCTCCTAGACATGGTGTAGCTGCACCTGAGGAACAACTGAGCCTGCAACACCCTTTTACTCAAAATTCTTTCTTTTCAATTCAAGTGAAGTCCCTCAGCGATGCTTAGTTAAACATGGAGTTGGTTCCAAACCATCAGCATCCACAACTGACACAGTTTATGTGCTGTAGTAAAAGAATAGAGAGTTGGGTATATTTTTATTCAGAACTGATTATGATATTTTCCTTGATTGCAGATGAGGAGCTAGCACTGGGTTACAGCCTCGACAGAGATTTAAGGGACCACCACAAACTATATTGGGAAAGAGAATTCAAACCTGTGGCAGAAAAACTTCTTGACAGAATTCAAAGCCATCACTCCTTTCCTCCCACTATGACTATTCCTCCGTTTTAACCAGTTCTGACTTTGTTGGTGGTGTAGATTGTACAGCTTTAGATTTCTAATATCCCTGCACGTGGCCATTGGTGAGCATGTTGGAGAGCATGGTAAATTCATTTAAGAACAATCAGTAAAGTCTAGCACTTACATACTGGATACTGGTTTTTGAGAAGCTTGTTTGAAAATTGTGCATGTGCAGTGAGTTTTTACAACATATTTGAGCTGATCAAGCAGCTGTTCAGTGTGATTTGTTGAGTTTCTTGGCTGGGAAACTGAAACAAAACTATTTGCTGAACTTTTAATTTTTCAGTTACCACTGGGTACCAGGAACTCTGTGGTTCCAAAAATGCTGTGCACTGTAAAATGGTGTTTGTTACATGTCAGGAGGTACATCTCACCTACAGGCTTTGGCACCCTTTTACATGATGCAGAATTCTGCCCCAGAGTAACCCAGATGGTCTGGGGAATTCTGCTGGGCATGTCATGAGCTTCACCCTTGGGATGGGATGTTGCCAGTGGCCAGGAGGGAAAGCTGCCCCCTTTCCCTCTGGAGATCTCCCTCTCTTTGCCTGATGTTGTGTGGCTAAGCCATCCCAGCTCCTGCCTTGGTGCTTGTGGGATATAAGTCTGGCTGTGCAGGAAAGAGGCTTTTCTTAATTGGAACTTTACATTTTAAGGCAAAACACCCATGTCCCTGATGTAAGAAAAGGTTTTAGCTGGTCTGGTGTGTTGTTCTTTCAGTTGTTCCCATGTTTCCAGGAGTCACCTGCGTGCCTGTACTTATCAGCCTGTCTTGGCCAGCCTGGGCTCTTGTCTCCATCCCTGGCCTCAAGCACTGACAGCCCAGTTGGCTGCAGAAACCTTTACAGACCTGATCCATTTGGCTCTTTTCTGACCTCTCATTACTCAGGAGAAACCATGGTCAGAGGCTGCCAGGCTCCTGGCTCTGATGCTGAGGGTCAGCAGCCTGGCTCTGTGCTGTGTGCCTTGGGAGAACAAGTCTCCAGCCTGGAAATCCCTGCTGAGAGGCCAGAGGGGTTTGTTTTTCTGAGGCAGCAATTCAGAGCTAGTTCAGTGGTACCACTGAACCTTGGCAGTGCCTGGACCTCTGCTTCCTGGTGAGGAGATGAAAGGAGGAGGCCGGGAAGCACAGCAGTAGCAGAAGGGCAGGGAAACTTTTTTCCTACTCTAGGTCCCTCCTTCTACATTCTTGGGGATGTCTTTATGTTGATGGAGCAGGAGAGGGGAAGATTTCATGGTCCAGGTCTTGGGAATGTTGAAGGAGGACACTTCAGTGAAGGTGGTGAAATTTGCAAGGTTCCTTTTGTCCCAGCAGCCTGGGTGTTTCTCCTGGCTGGCAGGGCTGGGGGCCCTGCAGAGAATCCCTCTGCTTTTGCCACTTTAATTTTAGCTGGAGTTGAGGGGAAGATAAAATGGTTTCAATGCCCTGTTTTGTGTCTTGGAAAAAAATAATTAAAGAAGGGCTGTTGGGTCAGTTCTTCCCTGTGGGGAAGGAGCCAGAGGTGTTTGTTCTTGGCATTGGCATCAAGGTCAGGGAGACACCAGGGCTGCCTCATGCAGCGTGGAAGAGGCCTTTTGTGGCCAAGTCCTGTCAGCAGGTTGAACCAGGCTTGACAAGCAGTGAGGATCTGTCAGAAGGCAGCCTGGAACTGCTCTTGTGCTCTAGTCAGGGTGGATATGGAGGCAGTGGAGGTTTGTTCAAGGAAGGTTTGCTCGTTCTGTCACTCTTACTGTAAAGAAGGGCCTGGAGTGCTGTGTTGTGTGTCCTGCAGTGGAGGGCAGGGCTGGGGCAGCTGCTGTGTGAGCTCTGGGCTGTTGCTCAGGGTCAGGCCTGTGGCTGGGGCAGGAGGAGGCCCCTGGGGAGGTGCTGGGCAGGGCCAGGAGGGCAGCAGAGTCTCAGCACCCAGCAGCACAGCCAGGAATGGCTCCTGTGGAGCTGCACAGGACCCTGGTTCTCCCTGAAAAAACCCTTGTGGGTAAGAAGAAATGAGCCCCAAAATGTGTGTGTGTGTGTGAACACACCTGCACCAAGGTTTGAACTGACCCTACTGAGATGGAAAGTCAGGGGCTGCTGAGGAGGGCTGTTAATTGGCTGCAGATGGTTCTGCCACGGGCCTCAGAGCACAGACTCAAAACCCTGTGTGGGGCTGTTTGTTCTCTAGTCTTGCCCCAGCTGGGCTCAGCAGCAGCAGGGCACTCCTGCCCTTCTCACCTCGCCCGGCTTCTCAGGAGGAGCCCCCACCAGCCTGGTCTTTTGGAGTGATTTCCCAAGCCCAGCAGTGCCCACAGCACCTGAGGTGCCAGACAGGACTGCTGTGCACACGGGAGCTGCTCACTCTGCAGCCACAGGCCCAGGCTCTGCTGAGCACAGAGGTGTCAGAACAACCTGCAGGCAGGGCAGGCAGCTCTCCCATCCACCCACCCACGATGGAGGCTGAGCTGTGGCTTCATCCTCACACCTCACAGCTGCTGCTCAGTGCAGCCACAGGCTTTGCCACTTCCATGGACCAGCTGGCAACTTCATTGTCTTGTTTTTGAAAGCCTAACCCTGTCAGTGTCCTGGGTTGTCCCTGTGCTTCACAGTCGTGCTTGTTCTCCTCTACTCAGAACCACGCTCAGCTCAGCATTTACTTTTTTTTAGAATGGAAAATCCCCAAACATTTTCAGGCCTTTTCTCCACAGTGAGTGGCTGCCTGTGCAGTCAGGATGGTGGGCACGGTGTGGTTGGTGCTCTAGTTTGAAATGTGGCAGTGGGCAGGCACTGACACACACACACATTCTGCAGGGGTTATTGCTTGAAAAAAGGAGGGAGTGCTACAGGTACCTGCACGTACCTGGGGGCTCTAGGGTGGGAATGCACAGTTGGGACTTCTTGGAAACTCATGTTTACCTTTGACCTCCCCCAAAACCAGCAGGACAATCGGGCACTGCAGAAGCTGCCTTTACAGACTGGAAAGACACTTTTTTCCTGTGTCCTTAGGACTAACTTACCTTTATGATATGCCCTTAGGAAAGTTTTGCTCTGTTTTTGGAACATTAAAAATCCTGTATTTTTAGTGAAGAGGAAATAGCAGCTGCTTCCTGTTAGTCACAGTTTTCGACAGTTTATTAATCTTTCTCCCCTGGCTGTTTGTAGATATTTTAGCTTCTTGCAACGTAAGCTTGAAAAATGCTCTCAGTGTTCTGCAGGAAGAGAAACCAGCCTGAGCTGAGAAGCAGGCCAGGGACATAAATCTGAATAGAATTTACCTCTGGGCTTGGGAAAAATCCATTTCTTTCCTGCCTCAGAACTAGGGCTCCTACTGCCTGTGAGCAGGTGAGAGCTCCTGCACTTGGGAGCACTGTCACCTCAGCTACAGGCAGCTCTGGATGTGATCCAGGAGTTGTGTCACTGCCCTGCAGCAAATCCCCCTCCCAGGGCCTCCTCAGTCTGGCTGCACAGACCTGGCCCTCCTGCCAGGGACCCCTCTGGCACCAGCCTGTGGAGATAAGCAGCCCAACGTGGCACTAAGGTCACTACTGAGTGACTTAACCATCAGTTTAACTCTCCAAGTAACCTAGTCACTGCAAAGAAGCGACTAAAGCATCATCATTCCATCATCTCACACCTGTTACCTGGGAGGAAGGAGAAAACCCTACAGAATGTACCTGAGGAGAGGATGGAGAACTATGGGGAGGATGAAATCATCAGGAGTGCATGAGATGTTCCTGCTGCAGGAACCTGAACCTCTGCATGAAACTTGGGTTTCTCCCATCTTTTTAGACTGTTGAAAAATGTCATGACTTGTCATTTTAAGTACGTTTGCTCAATTACACCTTAAAATGGTATTTCACCCAGTAGGAACAGGAGCATGAAGTTAAACCACACAAAAACAACCAGGAGAAAAAGTTGTTACCTTTATTTAAAAAATACCAATAATACTGACAAATTTAAAAAGCATTTCACACTCATACAAAAAGTACTCATGTGTTCTCCAAAACCACTGTCTATCAAACGTCAGCATTTTAATCATGTTTTGATTTACTAAAAATAGATGGTGTGTTTGTTTGTTTTTTAGCCTAGTTATTTAAGCAACTGCAAAAAAAAAAAAAGTAATAAATCAGTAAGACCAGCTTGGGCACATGATACAGTAGGACTGTTTGGCAGTCTAGAACAACATTCCCACACCTTGTCCCAGCTCCTGGACAGGTTCAACCTTGAAAAAGCAGGAGAAGAAGCTACTCAGCACTTCACACAGATCTCTTAAGAAGCTCTGAGGACTTGGGGTCCCCTCCTTCCCACAGGAAGACCTTTGCACTTTGGAGCTCACCCAGTAATGCTGAAGAAACCTCCTGTTGCGTTTTAAGGCTCAGCTGCTGGAGGGAACTGGCTGCTGTTCTTCAGGTGATCAGTGTGGACTGAAGAGGTTTAGTTCTGATTTAAAAAAGAAATCTAAATAACGAGGCTGTGTTGAAACCACACACGATAAAGGCTCAGACAGTAGCAGTGCTTTGCTTTCACTTTTAGCTTCACTGGAACAGCCTGTGTCTGTTCCCTCCCCCAGCACAAATAGCAGCATCAAGATTGTCTAAAATTATTCTGGTCGGGAAAGCAAACGTCAGCAAGTCCCACTTCTTTCCGTGCTCCAGCTCCCATAGGATTTGCCTTAACACAAGATCTATGTATCTACCATTTGCTGTATTGCCAGAAGTTCAGTGTCCCGTGCTGTCCTAAAGCCAAAGTCCCACCAGCAGGCAGCTCTTCTGCTCAACCCTCTTCTCACCTGCCAAGCGTTCACTGCCGAGCGGCAGCAGCGATATTCCAAACGTGGAAATAGCTGAAACTAAAGGATTTATGGCACAATGGGCATCTTAACTTATAGCTACTGTTGGTCCTGAGGCTTCATGTCTTCCTCTGCCCCCCTGCAGCTGCACAACGTTCCACTGAGGACGGGCAGTGGAGGCATCAGGTCATGTAGCGAGTAATAGCTCTCAGAGCATAAAGTAGTTCGGCTTGCATCCGAGCTTCTACCAGAAGCAAATTTACATGGACCTGGGGGGAAGAAAAGAAATGGTGCTGTGAGGGCCTCGCACTGACTCCTGCTCCAGAGCCAGGAAGCCTGTGGCTTTCCTGGGAGTGCTTGCAGCAGCTGTAAGGGAGCCCTTGCCTTCCCTACCCAGGTGAGGAGGTGGGTCTGTAAAGCTGAGGGAGGAGGGGCTGGACAAGCACAAAGCTTTGGGGCCATTCCCACCAGAAATCACTGCAGGACTAGCAAGCAAAGCTGCTCTGGGTCTGAGGCCAAGGGCTGGGTCTCCATCCCATCCTGCCTCTCTGGGAAACAAGCAACACCAAATGACAGAGAAGCTGAGACTGCAGTCTAGGTGAAGCTGCACCACGGGCATGTCTGACCTCCCCCTGCAGCCCAGGGCTGGCAGGGCCCGGGGCAGCTCTCAGCCAGCAAAGTGCAGGAGGGAAAGAAACATTATTTCGGGCTGGGAAGTGCTGCACCTCCCAGGGAAGGTGCTGAGGGTGAGCAGGATCCCAGAACACCAGCTACAGCTTGAATTCCAGTCAGGCACCTGTGGCTGTGAGCCTGGCAAGGGGATGTACCACCCGTGTCCCTTCTGTACCTTCTCAGAGTGTTCAAACTGCCTCCAGAAGCCATCATACATTCTTTTTGTGGTCTTTTCAGGAGTGCAAACCACAGTCTTGATATAAACTTTAAAGCTGCGGTCCAACAACTGGTTAATTTCACCATAGTCATAATCATCATATCTGTTTGGAATTCAAAGAAAAACACTTTCATTTTCAAGACCCAGTGATTTCACTCTCACGGTTTCTAAGTTCCTGTGGCAAAATTAATTATTCTGTAATTTTTATAACTACTGGCCCTTCCCCATGAATAAAAGTATGTTTAGAAATAGAATCATAGAATCATGGAATGGTTTGGGTTGGAAGGGACCTCCAAGATCATCCAGTCCCAACCCCCTGCATGGGCAGGGACACCTCCCACCAGCCCAGGCTGCTCCAAGCCCCATCCAACCTGCCCTTCAACACTGCCAGGGATGGGGCAGACACACCGTCCCTGGGCAACCTGGGCCACGCTC